GGAAATGGAAATTAGCCAATTAAAAGTATTTCTGGGGGCTGGCCCCGTGGCTGAGTGGTTGAGTTCACGAGCTCCACTTTGGCGACCCAGGATTTTGCTGGTTTGGATCCTGGGCACGGACATGGCATCAGGCCATGCTGAGGCAGCGTCCCACATGCCACAACCAGAAGGACCCATAACTAAAAATACACAACTATGTACTGGGGGGCTTTGGGGAGAAAAAGGAAAAATAAAATCTTTAAAAGTATTTCTGTCTCTGCCTGTTTCAGGTTCTCCTCTCTTTTGGATAAATGTTCCTCTTTCCATCGCTCTATTTGGTGGTTTCTTGCTTCTTCATGGCCCCTCTCCAGGCTCCCCAAGATGGTGCCTGCATATCAGGAAGGCCGTATGTCCTCCGGGCAGTGCGAGAAGGGCAGCTGGTCCTTGTGTACCTGGTGCTGTCCTCTGGGTCCTGGCTGGTCCCCTGGAGATGTGACTGGTGTATCGTGTGGTCTGTTCTCTTGGTACCATGAGGGTCCAGTGGAGCTTCCCGGGCTGACTCAGGCCCGCCTGGGTGCATGCTGACACATTGCGTCTTCCAGCCAGTCCCTGAGCCACGTGGTCAACACAACCTCTGCAGTAGGGTTGACCTGCCTTTTCCTCCCTGCCCTTGGCTCAGTCATCATCTGTTGGCAGAGGGAGTGCTTGGGGGCGCTCTTTGCCATCTTCTCTCACCTTCTTTCTGCCTAAATACTCCGTGCTGCCATTTTTACTTTGCTCCCAGAGTCCCCAGTGGGAAGCAGGGCATGAATCCTCTCTGCTTTGGCTTCCTCTGCAATCTACCTGGGGTTGAACTCTTGTTGCAACTCCAGCCATTGTTCATCCTCGAGATGGGGGAGGAGACTGCAGGGCCTCCGATGTCTGACCTTTTCTCTTTCTTCCCCTCCTCTCTCCTTCTCCCTGTGGCCCAGAAGCGTCTTCACTTCCTCCCTTGATGTTTGGGAAATTCTGTTAAGTTGCAGCCTGCGTTTTTGCTACCTATGGCTTATAGTAACGCTAGGTGTTCAGACCTTCAAGTTTTGACTGTAATATGTGAATTTTTGAATTTAGAGGTATCTTTTTTAACAAAGGCTGACTCAGGATTATTATTTCTTGATGGACTTAAAAACTTTTTTTGACAGAGCAGAGCAACGACTTCGTTGTGATGGTTGGGGTCCATCTGATGTTTTCTGGAAGCCCTGAAGCCTACTGATGCAGTGGGTGGGGGGTTCAGGGGGATCGTTCTTTGAGCGAAATAAAGAAGATCGGCTTATTCTTTTAGTAAATATTGAACCCATTACATATATAACCTGAATAAGGAGTAGGAAGAACAAAGCTCAGGAGGTTTCCCGACTCCCCATGAGGTCAGTGACCCAGGACTCCCCACCCTAGCTCTCTGCTTGGCCAAACCTCTAACCCATGACCAGCCTTCGCTGGAGGTGGCTGGGGAGAAGGGACTTCTTCATTAAGATTATTTCCCAGTTTTTTTGTCCACCTTATTCACCACCAAACTTGGGTCCAAAAGCCTCTTGGCTGCTTTTAGAAGTTAAAACTTTGCTCAAAGATCAAAGCTGTGCGGGCTGGCCCGGTGGTGCAGGGGTTAAGTTCGCATGTGCTGCTTTGGTGGCCTGGGGTTCGCTGGTTCAGATCCCAGGCATGGACCTACACACTGCTTGTCAAGCCATGCTGTGGCAGCCGTCTCACATATAAAGTAAAGGTAGAAGGGCACAGATGTTAGCTCAGGGCCAATCTTCCTCAAAAAAAAAAATTAAAAAAAGAAGATCAAAGCTGTGTCTCCACTGAGAAGAACCCAACGACTATGCCACAGCCTTCAAGGCAGTTCTCCAAAACAAGTTCCTGAAATGTTTTGAGCAATAGAATAAATGTCCATCCTCCCCAGAGAACTCTTTGAAGGGGAACACACTCATTTGGCTGTGTTCTTCAGAAAAAGCATCTTTGTCCTGACAATCCATTCACACCTTATAGAGTCACTGGCAGGAATCCAAAAGCTTGTGTACCCGCCACGTCTCCTCAGAACGCTGTGCGAGCCAGGTGGACCCTGTGAAATGTCAGGAGTGAGGCAGATGAAGAGAGAATTAAGCTCTCCTCCAGCTGGGCAGCCCCCTTTGATGTCAGCAACTGAGGGACATTTCATTCCTGTGCCTTGAATTGTAATGTCTCTGGAGTGTTCTAGGCGGGCTGTTGGAAGGAGCTTGGGCTGGGAGCAAGAAGGTCCATTTCAGAAGAGAGGCCAGGCTGCACCCAGTCATGAGGGTCATGAGGCAGCTCTGACCCCGATGAGAGGCCACCTGCCTCATAGAGGGTTGCAGAGCAGTCTCCCCGTCCACTCCCCAGAGGCCTGTGTCTTGGGGACTGTCTTCCCTTGTCTCCCTCTGCCCCAGAGCTTCAGAGGCAAAGGCCCTGATGCTGGTGGAGGTGGAAGCTGTCAGGCTCAGTGCACGTCCTTGTGGGACTCCACTTCCCACACGCCGGGGAGATTCAGGGGCCAACATGTGGAAGGCGCTCTTGGGGGTTTGCACAAGAGCAAAATGTAATTCATTGATTCCTTCATTCCCTTGCTAATTTATTTTTATTGATTGAACTTTCATTGCGTCCCGACTATGTGTCAGCCACCAGCTGGGGATGCCCAGATGAAGGAACCCACATCTCTGCTCTGTAGGAAGAGATCAGAGAGGAGTGGGGAGAGAGACAGCTCCAGTGGCCCAGGAAGGTGCTGGTGGCTCTGAGGAGGGAGTGCATGGGCCGCCGAGGCAGGTCAGCCATTGGATCAGGAAAGCTCGGCCAAGTGGCTGATGCACAAATGGAGGTTTGAGTCCAAAGTGGGTGGTGACTACGATCTGAGGCAGCTTGTGTTCAGTGCACAGAGAAGTATAAATAAGGTCTTTGGGAAAACACAGGAAAATGAGGTGACTTGTGGCTGGAGGATGAGAGGCGGGGCCGAAGGCTTCGTGGAGAAGAGGAAAGATTCAACAGGTGGTGTTGCAAGCAGAGGGAACAAACGAGAAAAAGCGTGGCCATGGAAAAGACCAGGGCGTGGTTTGTGCACATCCAAGTTTGACTGGAGATTAGATTCAGGGTGGGAGTATCACGGGAGAAAGGCGGGGGAAGTGGGCAGAGTCATATTGTGAAGGATCTGGTTGCCTGTTTTTACTTCAGTCTTAAGCAACGGAGGGAGTTGGAGGTTTTTGCGTAGACATGACATGATCACAGGTGTTAGCAGGAAGGAGACAGGAGGGATGGGAGGAAACTGTGCTATTTTGTTCACTCTTTGGAAATTGCCTTTTAATGAGATATTGCCCCTCTTGAGTCTTCTGTAGTGAGAAGCAACAAACCCATGACTGCCCGTACGACTCTGCCTCCCCCGGCCGCCGGGTCTGGTCTCCCCTGGGAGCCCTGCTGCCATCAGGACGAGGGTGCTTGTCAGTGAAGTGGAGCCGGGTGAGAGAGGGAGGCGGGAAGCAGCGTTGCCTTCTGGATCAGAAAAGCTCCTCCAAAAGGAAATGTGTGTGTGAGAGACAGAGAGACAGAGAGAATGTGAGGTTGGGTGGGGAAAGCAAGAGGGAAAGGAATTAATTTAGGACCAAATCAGGAAGCTCTTTGTTGACAGCGAAGGACAGACAGAGAAAAAGGCTTTCTAGGGTGACCTGGTGGTGGAGCCGTGCCGAACAGATGACTGATCCTCAGAGGCGGGATCCTGGGCCACAGTTTACTCTCCTGAATCTGAGAAAACCATGGGGCGTTCACTCCTGGACTATACATGCAGCTTCGGCCAGTGTTACAGGAAAGCAAAGCCAGATGAGGTCCTCAAAGCATCTCTAAATGATGGAAGGGGCTTCCATGGGAAGATACATTGAAGAGATGCAGATTTTTTTTAATGGAAAAAGTGAAGGTGAGATACACAGGCAGGATTTTGGATTCATTTGAACTGAACGAATGGGAGAAACTTGTCACCAAACCCTCAACTTCTGGAGGTGGGGCCCTGCAGTGAAACCGGACAGAGGCCGCTGTTGGGCCAGTGGGATGAAACATCCTCTCACACTATGAGAAGCGTGTTTAAAGACATGGAGATCTCAGAGACCGATGTAGGGTAGGCGTATACACAAGACGTGCTTACATCATGATGATAGATCCGCCACAGGATGTTGGGGTGAGCCAGAAGTGTCTGGCGCTTGTGCTTAATCTCGTGAAGTCCACACCCCAAGGGACAAAGATGCCTTCCAAGAAAGTGCCACTCACTGACCCGGTCTGGGAGGTCCTGACTTGCATAGAAAGGGGTTTTCTGTTTTCTTCTACATTCACTTGGCTCTGCAAAGACCAACACCAAGCCCTAGGAATTTTAACCTCTCTTGACTTTTATATCTTCTGCCTCAAATTAAGATGATTTAGTGCTCATCAATACCTCAAGAGTGTTAGAAGCGTTGAAACATCAAGGCTGTCATAGTGAGCTCTGAAACATAGAGGGGGAGTCCTTTAAACAGACATGTGGATCCAACTCTCCATCGTCCAAGGTCGTGCTGTGCAAGGAACACACCTGCACACACACTCACATGTGCACACACTCACACGCACACATCCTGGGTTGGCCAAATAGCTTCAATGATTTCCCCCCACCAAATGTTTTTATCAGAGTTGCTAATAAGTGACCCAAGAGACTGGTTTTTGTTTCTTTTTTTCTTTCTTTCCATTTTCTACTCCACTAGTCGAGCGCTTAGGAGATGTGAAATGTTCAGCGTGCAGTGGGCGGTAGGGAGGAGAACCTCCAGTGATTGAGTACGTGACTTCCAGTGAGGCGTCAGGAGCTGACAGCTGCTCGTGACCTTGGAGGAAGGGAGTCTGACTATCTGACTTAGATGGGAAAGGTGTGACATGACTCTGGATTGAACAGGACAGTGAGGGTCAGAGAGAGCAGGGACCCTGCAGGCCTGGCCTGACCAGTGTGTGTCCCCTGTGCCATGGTGCAGGTGACTGCTGGCTTCTGGCGGCCATTGCCTCCCTCACCTTGAATGAAGAGCTGCTTTACCGGGTGGTCCCCAGGGACCAGAACTTCCAGAAGAACTACGCAGGAATCTTTCATTTTCAGGTACTGGACCTTGCTCGGGGCCCTTGATGCTGCTTTCCGTGCTCTCGGGTCCCGCCCCAGATCTAGTGCGTCAGAAACTCTGGGGGTGGGGCCCGGGAGCCTCTGTTTTCACAAGCCCTCCAGGTGGTTCTAAGGCACACTTGAACCTGAGAACCACTGATTTAACATATCCATCCAATCATCCACACGTCCATCCCCCTCCTGTCTCCCCCAGGCCACGTGGCCTTGAGGAAAGCACTTTGGAGTGAGGCTCAGGAGATGCGAGTCTGAGTAACCCCCTGTTGCCACTGCATGATGCTGGGCAAGTTTTCTTACCCACAAACTCAGACCCTGGATTGACGTTTCCTGCTTTCTCTGGCATCTCCTATGTGCATGGATAAGTAAGACACAGGTCCTGCCCTTAAGGAGCTTGGAGCTCATTAAAGGTCCAAGGCTTGACCGCTGATGAGCACTGAGGCGCTTTCTGAGGTCCACCGAAGAAACTCACTCTGCCCATCAGCTTATCCCTATGAGCAGCAGCTGTGTTTTCCCACCCCCAGTTCTGGCAGTATGGAGAGTGGGTGGAGGTGGTCGTCGATGACAGGCTGCCCACCAGGAACGGGAAGCTGCTTTTCCTGCACTCGGAGGAAGGCAATGAATTCTGGAGTGCGCTGCTGGAGAAAGCCTACGCCAAGTAAGTGGGGCAGTGGGGAGCCAGGAGATCCCACAGTCTCCCTGGAGGGCCCCCCAAACTCAAAGTGTCGGGTCCAAGTCTTTCCCAGCACCTGGACCCCCATGTACTGTATCCCTCAGTAACTCAGAGAAACAGAAATTTGGGCTAAGAGTTTAAAATCCCAGCTCTGTCTCATGTGAATCTGTGCATCAGGGGCACGCCCCTTAGCTTTCTCCTCTTTCAAAACCCAAGGTCAGTTCTTAGGTCAATGTGAATCTTTAAAAGAATGAAGAAGAAGATGAAAACAAATACTTAGATACCAGACTCAACAAGGTCTCCACCCTTTGCTCAAGAGTCATTCTCCTTCTCGCTGGCATTCCATGTTCAAAGCCTTCTTTTGGGTTCTTTTAATTAGTTGCATTTAGTGGTACCCTTTTCTGCAACCCCAGCTCCTTTCCAGCCCTATTCCCAAAGCAGGCCCCAGGGGATGCCTCTCAGCCTCGAGGGAGTGTCCCCCCATCCCTACCCATGCCCCAGAAACCCAAGGAGCCAGGGGCAGCTCTGGAAATGTTCCACTTCGCTGCTTTTTCTAGGAGTGGGTGGCCCAGTGAGAGGTGGTCTTAGATTCGTTCCTGGCACAGTGCTGAGCTGGCCACTTGAGACGGTGGCCTCAGCACTTTCCTGGCCCATGTAAAATTGGCGAAATCGGCAAAGGACCCTCATTTACCTTCCAGACCACGCCCTGTCCTAGCACCACCCCGGCCCCCACGTCACGTGGTCCCCTCGTGGGGTTGCTCATGGCTGTGGATAATGCATGCTTGCTTTCTTTTCCAACAGGCTCAATGGTTCTTATGAGGCTCTTGCTGGAGGGTCCACAGTGGAGGGGTTTGAGGATTTCACTGGTGGCATCTCTGAGTTTTATGATCTGAAGAAGCCGCCGCCCAGTCTGTATCATATCATCCGGAAGGCGCTCCGCTCCAGCTCTCTGCTGGCCTGCTCCATTGATGTGAGCCACAATGGCTTCTCTTGGCTCCCCTCCCCAAGTATGGCAGGGGAGGGACTGGACGTGGGTGAGAGGCCTGGGAAGGCTTTGGGCCAGAGCAGAGTCTGGGACTTTCTGGGCAAGTCCGGTGACATATTAATCCCCAGCATGCGGGAACTGGTTAAGATCTAATTAGTGGGGAGGAACCGGGGCTGGTCTCATGGTAGGAGCCCCAATGCCCCTAATTGTTAGAGCCCCTTTAGTTCTGTGGGAATCGCCCTGAGAATGTAGCTTGATCCCTGGGTCCTGGGCCCTGCCTTTGTCACCTCCTTTTTGCCAAGTAATCTTGGGATTTTGGAAAACAAATATGATGACTGATAATACTTGATGGAGTTCAAGATCGCTGAAGGAAGGGAAGAGGTTCTGAACCAGGGTCGTGCCCTCTCTCTCATGGAGGGTTGGCTGTACGGAGTGCCAAGGTGGCGTGGAGACCAGAGCCTGGAGGCCACCAGCCCTGTGGTCTCTTGTCACCTGTCACTCCACCCACACTTCCTTCCTCTCTTTCTCTTACCTGGTGATCTCAGACGTGTGAATGACATGTGTCAATGGACATCCCAGCAGGATATGTGTGGTTTTGGTGGAGAAGTGGTATGGGGGTGTGGAGGGTGGGCTGTGATGAGGAAGGATGATTGGGAAGCCCTCTCAGTGAAAACGTGGAGAACCAGGACTTGTCCAGAACATTCGTCATGGATAATTAGTCTTCTTCAGGCAGCATGGGGTTGCTCTTGGAGAATTCACGACTTCCCAGTTTCCTGGGGCATTTTAAGGGCTGGTAAGCCACATTCCAGTCTTGGCAGCCACGCAGCGCCCTGCCTGGAACCGAAGCCCTAATTAAAGAGGGCTGAATGGAGAGGGCTCTGCTTACCTGAGCTTCATGGTTTCCCCTGCACCTCCGGCCGCACACCGGGGCCCGGTGGCTGTGTAGTCTGTCTTTGGAAAACATTGTAGGACCGGCCTCAACCAGATCAGAGTCAGCCACGCTGAGTGGACTTTATTCTCAACCCAGGTCTCCAGTGTGGCTGAAACGGAAGCCATCACCCGCCAGAAGCTGGTGAAGGGTCACGCATACTCTGTCACCGGAGTCGAAGAGGTAGAATCATGGGGGCAGGGAGGGCAGTGTGCAATGATGGTACCATAAGTCCAGAGCATCCCTGAGAGGATGAGAGAGGGGATCAGCCCCAGAGCTTCCCAGCCCCGCTGAGGCACGGTCTCCCTGGTTGCACAGAGCCCTGACCACATGTGTGCCCTTAGCTCTGGCTCATGACAAGGGCCCTTCTGACGCTCACCAACTCGGAGATGGATCACGTGCCGTCTCTGAACTACAGCTCTATGGGTTTTAACGAAGTGTAGGCTGTCCTCTGGGATGTGGCCAGGAAGAGGAAGACGGTTCTGGAGGAAAGTTGTAGAAATTGTGAGTTAGATTCTACACTCATTCCAAGAAGTACGTTTGTGCAGGTAAAGCAGTGGAAACCATAGGATCCCCAAAGAGAAAAAAGGCAGTGGTACCCGCGCCTGCTTTCGGGGTGCGGTATAATGATGGAAGGAACGCAGGTAGTCCCCACTCTGCTTCCAAAAAGAATTTGAGGCGGCTTCCAAGGAAAAGCATAGACACAATGAGACCATCCCAATCTGGGCGAAGACCATTCTAGGCTAAAGACAGTGCAACAATTGAGAAATTCATTTTGCTTTGGGTTTCCCAATGGCCGAGGCCCAAAGGGAAATGCAATGGGTGCCTCAGCTCTTGCTATTTATTAAAATGGCATGCATGCATTTTACATGTGTTTGTGTTTTACAAATATGCTCTTGAATCAAGTCAATTCCCAAATCCGAATGGAGCATGTATGTGTAAGCATTGGGCTAGGGTATGACGGAAGATACAAAGGAAAGTAAGACACAGCAGACTTCACGGTTGCTCTTGTTTGTGGGTGTATGCAGGTGCAAGTGTGGGGCTCACAGTGAGCGTTCAGTAAACAGTCGGGGAAGGAGGTATAGACGGGCTCTGGGGACAGGCTGCCTGGGGGGGGGGGTCTGTCCTCCATCTACCACTTACTAGCTAGGTAACCTTGGGTAACTTAGCCTCTCTGAGATTCAGTCTCAGATTTTTGAGCTGTAAAATGAAGGTAATAACACTACCCAGCTCACAGGATTGTCGTGAGGTTCAAATGAGGCATTTGAAATGCTTCGCGCCATGCTAGTCTGTAATACATACTCAATAAATATGAACTGCTGTGTTATTAATATTTGTTTGGGTGGCATTTATTATTATTAGGTCTCGTATATTAAGAACTGAGTCAACCATAAAACCGAAACACAAGTTAAAGCAGACATAAGCTTGTTTTTGTGCCAGACTCACTATTTATTCAACCAAATTGTGAAAAATAGAGCAGCTGGCCGAAGCCTGAAAACATGTGTTAAGAGAAAATGAGAGCATGGTTGTTTAGGGACCTTTGAAAGATCAAATGCCAATCCTGTTGGGTGCAGACGTGAATGTGGGGCAGCGGGATGCAGCAACTCAGTTGCTTTTTTGTGCGTGGCCTTTGCAGGTGGATTTCCAGGGCCATCCGGAGAAGCTGATCCGACTCAGGAATCCGTGGGGAGAAGTGGAGTGGACGGGAGCCTGGAGTGACAAGTAAGTCCTTTCCCCTCCCCTGGTCCTCACCGCCCCCTGAGGAAAGGCATCAGCAAACCCAGAATAATCATGAGACGGAGGGTAGAGTGAGTTCGGCAGCGGTTTCTGTCTACAAATTAAGCAGCTTGTTCAGAAAACAGTATAAGATGGTTCCAGGCTGGGAGAAGCAAAACAAAAACCACTTAGCTGTCATCTTTGATTCTGGATCTGGGCTCTGGCATTTGCAGAAATGGCAGCTTGGTCGAGTTTTGTTCAGGGCTGGAGGCTTTGCCTGTTTTCTGCCTATCACCTGTGGCTATCCAAAGGTGAGATCCATCACTCACCATTGGATTCTTTCCATTCCACGAACCCTGGTCACTCTGACAAAGGCCAGACCCCTCAGCAAGAGGAAACCGTGCTTAGAAAGCAGAGCTTGACCCTAGGAGCTGCTGGCCATAGCTGGCAGTGACGGATGGGAGTGGCGCTCGCTCTCCCTGGGAGCTCGTTACGGGCGGGTATCCATCTTTTCTGACAGTCATTAACGCCCTGAGAGGCTTTCCTTGGGCGGCCTCTCTGCTGGGGGGAGGAAGTCGGTCAGAGATGGTGACTTGACACCGAGGCCTCCTGCGGTGTCCCAGGACAGCCGTGCCTTGGAATCGATGTCACTGTGGTACGGGAGGATGGAGAAAGCATGGAGCGGTTTCCGTTCTACTTGGCATTGCTGGCAGGGGGAGGCAGGCTGGCTCTGGGAAAGGAATTAGAATTTGCTGGTGTCATTGATGAAGAGCCGTCAGAAATGGGAGTGGTTATAATAACCCCCCTCCTGATATGTTCTTAAATCTCGAGTGTGCCCCCACATCCTGTCCATACTCTGTGAGGCCACTGGGGCGTTTGAAGGGAACTTTATTACATTTAATCACACATCATTACTGCTCATAACTGCCACACTTCCCTTCAGGTTGGTGTCAAGAGGAAATATGTGTCCCTAGGACCACAGATTGGCCTTCTGTATTGAAGATTTTTTTATTCCATTGCCTAAGATTCAGCAAAATGCAAAACCCCGGTTTCCAACTGCCCCAAAACAATGTCACTCTAAATGAAATTGAAACCCTGAGTTTTAGCCATTTTAACCAACAGCTGTTTATCAAGCTGCCCAAAGGGCTTCTCTGACTTCCTCTCCTTTTCTTGATGTCGCTCAGGCTCCAGCAGGCTGGGACAGGTCTAAGGGTGGGAGGTGGTGACTGGTGAGGACCGTGTGCTCCATCGTCTTGAGATGCAGCCTGGGGTATATATGCACTGACTGTTGGGGGAGAAGGGGGCTTCATCTCTGAGGGACCATCCCTAGGCTCAGCCCAGTGTCTACTTAAATTAAACAAATGTTTTTTAGTTCCAAAATACCAACTGGGAGATTTAGGTGAGATCTAGAATTCTCCAACGTGTCCCCTAATCTTTGTTTACAACAAGCGCATTCTGAGATTTGGTGCTGATCCAATGGATGTTTCAGCGAATGGAAGAGGCCCTGGGAGCTTTGCTGTCTGCTCCCTCGGGGCTCTTGGAGGCCAGCTGCGAGGGAGAGGCTGGCCTTGGGGTGCCTGGCTTTTCTGCAGAGAAGGGAAGGTATCTATGTTCTGCTGAGAGTATTCAGGGAGAGAGTTTTTATTTTAAGTTGGATCTTGATATTGCTCACTTATTTAGACATTGCATAGGTATTTCAGGAAAACCTAACTTTGTAAAGGTCAGGTAGCTGGAGATGGCATTTGAACAGAGCATGTTGGTATTGCCACCAGAAGGCCACCAGCAGGAGGCCTCATCGGGCAGACATTCCTTCAGGGGAATTGCCATAAAACTGGGCCTGACTGTCATTCTTTAGACTCAGGAAGTGGACCATGTCCCTGCCCAGAGGTGGTCAGACTCTCTCCAATGTCTTCACCCCAGCCTGATAGATAAGCCTGGATGACAACTTGCTGACGGATCCTGGTGTGCGTGCCTTTCTGCAACAGCATCCTCGCCTCTCCTCTCTTGGGCTTCCCCATTCCTGTGGTCAGGGGCCTGGGAGGCTTAATCAGAAATGTAAAACTTGCTTGGAGAGTGAAATTAGAGCAAAGCTGCGGAGCAACGTTTCTGCTGCATGTCTGGGGTCACCTTGCCAGTGCCCATGGAGTCCATGTCCCCGGCCTGCGTCCTCTCCCCAGACTGTGTGCTCCCCACCTACTGTGTGTTCTGCCTTTTCTTTCCACATGGCTGGGGTTTTTTTGGCATTCCATTTCTGGCCCTTTGAGGGGAGTTTAGCCGCAGTAAACAGCTCGCACTGCAGCAAATCCTTCAGAAATGACCACCTCTGCTTCCTTTTTAAAAATAATTATAATTTTATTATTCTTTTTCCCCAGTGCACCAGAGTGGAGCTACATAGATCCCAGGCAGAAGGAAAAGCTGGACAAGAAAGCTGAGGATGGAGAATTTTGGTGAGAGAGTTGCTTCCTGCAGAGCTGCCCCCTTAGTTGCGGGTCACTTCCGGTTCTGACAGGGGGCAGCGCATCTCTGTGTATTCCAGGAATTCAACATGGCGCCTGGCCAGGGGGGCTGTCATTCTTCTCCCCCTTTTCACCCTAGTATAATTCTACCTCTCCTCCAGTGTGTCTAAAGCATTGAAACCACAATATCTGGGCCCTCAATGTGCATTAGCAATCAACCTGTCTTCCTAAGTTTCCGTATGTTTCCAATGAAACAAGGCCTTTACTTCTGTCTCTTTAAGACTTATCTTGCCATCAAAATAGGATAACTTCCTTCGTGGGTGGGCTAAGGACGAAATAAGGACACTTCTTGAATGAGTCACTGCTGAGGGGACATCTCTATGCTGGACGTCAGTCAGAACTGAATAGGAGAAGAGCTCTTGTAGGCTTAGCTGTAACCAAGCTGGAGGCAGGGGCTGTGTTCGGATTGCCTGCTGGAGCCTCCTCCACTGTACGGTCCGTCTCTGTGCTTGGTTGGTTAGCTGTGTGATGGAGGCTCTCTCATAACAACGGAGAAGCTAGCAACAGTGAGCAATTCGTGCAGTAGTCCCTGCGTGCTTGTGTCAGTGCGCTGAAGTGGCCTCTGCTTCTTCCCGGGCCCAGGAGACCTGCCTTCCGTCACCTTTCCAGCCTGACTTTCTTGACCCAGAGCCCTCTGCTCCCTCTGCCTCCAGGATGTCTTTTGCGGATTTCTTGAGGCAGTTCTCTCGCCTGGAGATCTGCAACCTGTCCCCGGACTCCCTGAGCAGCGAGGAGGTGCACAGATGGAACCTGGTCCTGTTCAACGGCCGCTGGACGCGGGGCTCCACCGCGGGGGGCTGCCAGAACTACCCAGGTGAGGCAAAGGTCTGCCTGGGCCCCATCTCCTTCTGGCTTGTCCTCCTCGAGCTGGGTGTTCCTCTCTGGACATGCCTTTGCACTCTGTTCTCTGGCTCCTGGGCACCCCTTGGAGGCCCAGCTCCGCCCTGGGGCTTGGAGGCCAGGGCGGCATGGGTGGGCGGTGGCTCTGCAGCCCCTCACCTGAGGCCTGATCTCAGGTAGCACCATTCTTCAGCTTCTGTGTGTTCGGACTGTCCCTGCTTCACCCACCTGCCCCCTGCCCCCCAAGGACGTGCTTCTTTGTACTAACCATGCTCTTGGCCCCCAGCGCCAAGATCTCCTGTTCTTCTCTTGGGCTTCCGCCGCCTGACCCAGCTGGCTAACGCCCATCCCACTGAGCTCTGGGTCGGAGCGGCTAGTGGTGTGCTAGAGGGACACAGGTGTGACGTCTGTTCTTTCGGGGGGCTGCATCCACTGGAGCAGCAATTTTGCTTTGCGTCTGTGGCTGTCGGAGGTGGAGGGACCTGACTGTGTGGGTTGGGGATGACCACACACAGGGCATGCGAGTGGCACTCCCTGCTCTCATGGGAGTCATTGGCGCTCCATCCCTGAGGGTTAGTCTGGTACAAGCCGTTGCCTCTGCACTAATCTGGGCCCTCATTTACGAAAGGTGGGGAGCCTGTCCCGGCTCACCGGAGATCACTAATATGTACACATACAGGCTCCTCCTAGGTCGAATCAGCTGAGGCAGCTCCTGAGGAAGAAACTGAAAAACGACCCCACATCTCTAAGGAGAAATGAAGGAAAGCAAAACCCGCTCTCTCCACTTCCCACGCCCCCAGACCCTGCGCTCCCCCGTCTGAGGATCTGACATGACGTGCTGATGAACTTAGACTGTAAGCACAGGGCAGGCCAGCTTCCTTCTCAGGACCGAGCTCCTCGCGGGCTGTGCTCCGTGCTGTGGAAGCAGCATTATATACAGTCCCACACTGGTGCAGGCTTGATCTTGACCAGGCCTCCCCTCCTTCATCCCCCTCCCACCCAGAGCTCCCATTTCTGGTGGCAGGGATGCGTGCAGAGCAGAGAGGAAGGGGGAGGAGGGGCACCCTTTCCTGCCCCCATTGCTCAGCTTAACAGCTGTGGGCCCCTGGGAGGATCCTTTCCTTCTTCTGAGCTTCACCTTTCCAATCCTCAACGTGGAATGATAATACCCACCTTCGCAAGCGCCTTGTAAACTGGGTAGCGTTATACAAATGGGAGGTGTTATTTTTATGGCCCATTCTCTTCTTCTAGTTCTGTTAAGGAATAAAGAAAAAACGTAGGGATTGCAGTAATGTTGCATGTGGGAGAAATTAAAATACGCTCACCATTAGCAAGCTCTTAGAAAATGCCTAGGAAATTTGCATGGATCATTCTGGGAGCTCAGAACTGTGGGGATGCCTAAGGTATCTGTACACACGGAATCGCTCTCCCATCTGTGCCGCCACTAGCTGTCACAGAGGGATGGATGGTTCCCGCCCTTTGGTAATGATGTAAGTATAGACGATTCCAGAATCATCTCTGACTCCTCTGGAATGTACAGATATTTGGTTTTAAAATCAACCCACTTGTGCCCTAAATAAAAAATCTGGAAGTGGGAGATTCTGGGAAGGTGGAATTGAATAAGTAATATTTTTGCGAAGAAAATAGAATAATCAGTGTCTCTTGGTCACCTGTGAATGCCTTGTGTTTTCATCAAGTTGGACCCTGGCTTGGAGGATGTCAGAACTCCCCTCCACCCCCAAGTCCTTTCTTCCCCCAGGGCACATCATTATTGAAATTGTTGAGGTCCTAGCGTGGAGATGCCCCTCATGTCCGGCTTCTCCAATTATGCTCTGCTGCTTGACTCGGTCATAGAATTGCTGTGTGCCCTTGGGTGACCCATTTGACCTCTCTATGCCTTGGCTTATGTAGTCACTATTTTGAGAGATTTTAAAAAAATTCATCTTTGAAACTAGCAGTCTTTTGCAATATCCATAGGTGGTGTGGCGGGCATGCTTCTTAATTGCCAATTATTATTCCTCATGCATTATTAAATGACTTACACTTGAAGGGAGTGTGTCTCATCAGTGGGCTGCAATGCCAAAGCCATCAAGTGAGGCCCTTGGGCTGATGGACAGAGGATGAGCCATGAGGGCGGCTTCAGGCTGTGATCTGAAGAGGGGGCCCTCTGAGGGAGGACACATACCCCTCAGATGGGGGTTTCTGGGGAGCAAGAGTGGTGGTCTCTATAGCCTGTCAGCAGAAGCCTCCTACATAGCCAGCCTCCTCTGGACTTGGTCCTCATCTGTCCCCATGCCTTTTACCCAGAGATCTCCTTCCTCCAGGAGGTAGGTTTGTCTTCACGGGCCAGGAGCTGAGAACAAGGAGATGTCAACCATCTCCCCAGAAAGACTTGGAGGTTCCTTCCCAGGGGGCAGGGTAGCCCTGGGACCATGGCACCTTGACTGTTCCCTGTCAAGAGTGTCCGGGCCCCTGGTTGGTCAAATGGACGAGTGCAGAGTTCCCCAAAGCCATGGGTTGCGCTGCTGGTGTGTGGGTGGGGTAGGGAGATGGGAGGGAATGCCTGCCCACCTCGCAAAGAAAACCCACCGAGGGCCTGCTTACTGGGCACAATTTGGCCAGAGTTTTCTTTCACTGGGATGATCAAAGATCTTCCCTTCATTTTTATTCTCGCCCATCTCCTCACCCCGCACGGGGGGAACCTCCATCTCCCGGGTGACTTCCAGCCACGTACTGGACCAACCCCCAGTTCAAAATCCATTTGGATGAGGTGGACGACCACCAGGAGGAGAGCGAGGGTGAACCCTGCTGCACGGTGCTGCTGGGTCTGATGCAGAAGAATCGCAGGAGACAGAAGAGGATGGGACAGGGCATGCTCAGCATCGGCTACGCGGTCTACAAGGTACTCCCGAGCTGGGATCATCCTTTACCACATACCTGGCGTCTTTGGTGGGAATATTTTGACGAGTAATTGGAGTGCATCTTTCCTATTGCTTGAATATTCCTAATCAAGCATTGTCCTTGCTCCCCTATACGCCTCTCCCAGTGGCCTTACTGAGGCCTGAATTCCACAATTAGAGATTCATTCTTATGGCTTAAGTCTCTGCTGTTAACCTTGAGACATGTAATTCACTAAACTTTGCCTGTCATTGAGGGCTAAGTGACATTAGACTCACATTAGTGTATCTTAGACTCTTTCCAGGTATAGGCTTCTCAGGGGCCGGGAGCCAAGAACATAGGGGCATAAGACACTTGGGATGACAGAAGGAGTATGAGGGCATCACGGAGTGGGAGAAGGGAGGCTGGACATGGGAACCAAAGACAAACACTCTGTTTCTTCCTGGGCATCTTAGAGACACTTGTTGGGACACACAAGGGATGAGCTGGGGTGACAGAAGCTACATGGCCATTTTCAGTTCTGGTGTCTCTGGAATGGGAGCCACAGCTGGCTCTCCTCTCAGGCTGCAGTACCTGGCTCAGCACGCCAGTTTGCACGGGTGACTACCCCTCCATGGCTGTCTCAGCCTCACAGATATGTTAAAGCAAGACCTTCAGGTCTCGACAAGCCTAGCCAGGAGCAAATTGACATCCACTTTTTCATACAGACAAAGACTCCTTGTAGCAAATTCCGGAGGGATTCACGGTGGTTGTTTTTATACCATTTTGTTAAAACTGAATTTCTTGGGAAAAATACAATTCTAATCAGGAGGACCAAGAGCTGGCTGGAGGCCCAATGTCTCAGTATAAATGACCGCATGAAAAGGAAGTATTGTAATGAGAACCAGTAAGGAAAGTGCAATTGTCCGGTTCGTACCTCCCAGCCCCTTTCTTTCTCCTGTTCTGGACCCTCGGGCTTTAGAGTTTAGGGTGCGGTCTGTGTGTGTATTTTATATTGGAGGAATGGGAATTAGAAATAATTGCTGCTTGATGGCAGGAGAAAAGAATGTCAAGTAAATAAGCTCCAATCGTACTCCAGCTTAGCCCTTCCATCCGCACCTAGAATGTAAACAGCAGCCAACTAGATTCTTTGCTTGTAGGGATAAAAATCTGAGAAGGCACTTCCCGTACGCATGTGCCTTCAACGTGCGTTAGTGAGCATAGCAGATGCTCCGTGCTGGGTGCTGGGAGGAAAGCTGGGAGACAGAGGAAAAGCACGTGGTTACTACCCTCCAGGTGCTCACCTTCTGGGGGAAGTCAGACACACTCCCCTAACTGCGGGGCAGGTCAGATCCACTGTGATGGGGACCAGCGCGGGCCCGAGGTCTCCTCAGGAAGGGACGGCTTCACGGAGGAGGAGACTTCTGATCAAAGCTTCAAAAGATGAGCTGGATTTCAAAGGTGGAGAAGGGAGAACATTCCAGCCAGAGGGGGCACTACGTGCTTCTTGATGGCTGGAAAGTAAGTGATGGTTTTGGAGAATGGGTTGTAGGCAGGCATGGCTGAGGGTGGGCTCCTCAGGGACTGGCCGCCAGTTCTTCATTGCCAGCCCCGCCTTAGATAGCCAGGTCAGCACAGCATTCCTGCAAAGGGACGTGAGCTAACACACTGCAATAGCTTGGCTGGTGTGGCGTTGGCTCTCGTAAATAACATCTACAGCATGTCGATTTTTCAGACATCAAATTACAGCTGCTTATAAAATAACCCCCTGTGTGTGATCTGTGGGCCTTCTTCTCATGGCCAGAGGCGTATAATTCAGAGCATGACAACTGGGGAAGCAAGCAGTTTTAAAGTTAGATTGAGGGGGATATAGGGTTATAGGGAGTACCTGGGGTTATAGGGAGTACCTGGGATTTTAGGGGTACTGGGGCTGTAGGGGGTTCCTGGGGTTGTAGGAGTACCTGAGATTGTAGGGAGTGCCTGGGGTTGTAGGGGTACCTGGGGCTGTAGGGGGTTCCTGGGGTTGTAGAAGTACCTGGGGTTGTAAGAGAACCCTGGGGTTGTAGGGGTACCTGGGGTTGTAGGAGTACCTGGGGTTGTAGGGAGTACCTGGGATTGTAGGAGTGCCTGGGGTTGTAGGAGTACCTGGGATGGTAGGGAGTACCTGGGATTGTAGGAGTACCTGGGGTTGTAGGAGTACCTGGGATGGTAGGAGTACCTGGGATTGTAGGAGTACCTGGGGTTGTAGGAGTACCTGGGTGTGTGGGGTGTACCTGTCTCTGTAGGGGCCTGGGGTGGTAGGGGGATGTAGGGATTGTAGGGGTACCATCCTCTGACCCCTGTACCCGCTCCTCTGGCTTTCCGTGTCTGCACACTGGAGTCTGGTTTGAGGTTGGAAGTCTGACACTGAGAAGCAGCCAGAAGCCCGGAAGGCTGAGCCCTGCTTGTCTGGCCTCGTCTCTCTCCCCTGTTATCTTCCTGCAGTGACAACAGACTCATGCCAGGCAGGCCTGTCATTTGCATTCAGGACCCTGCATTTCAAAGCGACTGTCTCTTCCCATCCATCAGTGGGCAAGGGCCAAGGCTTGCTCTCCTGCCTTCTGCTCCGGATTTGTGCCACCCAGAGGCCCGCCGGACTGGCTGGGTTCCTGCCCGCTGCCTCCTGCCAGGCTGGATTCAGAGCATATTGCCGGCGGCACTGGGCGTGTTGGGTGGAAAGCGGCCAAGGAGGTTCAGAGAGTCCCTGCCGAGGGGTGAAGGCTTTAGGCGGGAGCAGAGAGGAAGATACCACGAGGACCTCTGCTCTCCCAGACACCCAGGGCATCTGCATGGGGCATTTTGGTTTTAAACTCAAAATTGGAGGAGCGACAGTGACCCTGAACTTTTCTGCCTCTGCCGCCAGTTACTAATAGGGGCACCAGAGTGACGATGCCAGCTGATCCATATTTTCCTAATTTTTGTTTCCAGAGTTGCAGGCAGTTGCCCATGGACCCAAGCCACCAACAATGCCCTTCCTGTCCTTCCGGTCAAGAGTGTGTGTGGCAGGGGCGAAGTGGGGAAAGGACCCAAGGGGGTTGAACCTCCGTTCTCCCTGGGCATGGGAGGGCTCCACTCTGCGGCTGAGAGCTCATCTGTGCGAGGCAGCATTCCCAGTTGCAAATAATAGAGTCTCTCTCTCCCTCGACTAGTGAAAAAGGAACTGACCAGCTCATGCAACCAAACCAAGGGACAGGAGGGCTCCATGGGACAAGGGACTTGCATGCTGGCAGGACCCTTTCTGTCCACATCTCCTCTCTGCTGTCAGTGCCGTTCTCCGGTCCAGCGTTCTTCACAGTATCCCTAATAGCACAGCACAAAAGAAGGGGTCCCCTCCCCTTAGTTCCAATACAAAAATCCTAGAGAAGTCTCTGATGGACTCAGCTTGCGTCATGTGCCTGTTCCAGGACTGGTCACTGTAGCCAAGGGCAGGGTGGATAATGGCTCAGGTTGAGCCAGAGCCCCGTTCTGGGCATGTCCTTGATCTGGAGGCCAGGTCTGAAGGTCTGTAAGACGCTAGCTCTCATTTAAACCCCAGTTATTACTCCCGAAGAATTTGGGATCCTGGTACATTATACAACTAGAAAACGAAGAGGTAGAACCTTTTTTTTTCATTCGGATATCTGGGGCTCAGTAGTCTACAGATGGCCTTAAACTTCATCAACAACTTTCCAGTTTTAGAAATGATGACTAGTCTCTCACTTTAGCACAGATGTCCTCCCCAGTGGCCCCAGCAGCCTGTCTGCAAGATGTGGGGAGGGACACAAAGGCACGATGGAGGGACCTCAGCAGTCTCAGGTGACCTGTTCTCTTCTTCTCTCCTGTAGGTCCCCAAAGAGGTACGTGAGTGCTGACAGACATATCCTTCCTTTGGTAAGAAATAGCGTGGCTGCCTGCACGGACGGGCACACAGCCGCATCTGCTTCCTCAGGTGGAAGCCGGTCCTCCCACAGACAGATTCCCCCATGGTCTGGTGAGCTGGTAACCCTGAGAGTTGGTAAGGACAATCCTGAGTCCCACCTTCCAGGCCCCTGTGGAAAGGGCACAGTGGTGACCTTTGCCCCCGTGAACCTGGTGGTCTGATTAGAACAAGATGATGGTAGCACACCTTAGCTCCTATCTATCTAGCTGACAGAAATAAATGCCCTGATCTCTGATAAGAAAAGAAAACACCACGTTTATCTTTTCGGCTCCCTGCTGTTCCTGCTTTTCCTTGACGATTTACACCTGGGTGAGAGAGACATACCATCATCGTCATACCAGCATCTGGGGTTTCCTGCTGCTGTCCCAGGCCTCACCCATCAGCTGTTCCATCTACCTCGACCCTTTGAAGGAGGAGCCTCAGGCAGCGCTCCTGGGGAAGGGACTGGTGCGGCTTGTGTGACAGCGCATCCTTGATGGCAGCCAGCACAAAGTCAGGCCCCGTTCCTCCTGGCCCAGTGAGCCTCTCCTTAGCTGCATGCTGGTGATACCGGGGGAGCTTTTAAAAATCTCCATGCCCAGGTTGCACCCCAGACCAATTATAGCCGGATCCCTCCGGTATTGCAATGTGCAGCCGAGGTCAGGAACCACTGTGGTGTCAGGGCTCCCCCAACTGGAATGAGTTGCACTAATTACTGAGAGGTGTTTTACCCTGATGTGGTCTTACCCCCACTCTCCCAGGGTCTCAGGCTCAGCCAGCTATGTAGCATGTGCCAATAAGGCCAGGTTCACAGGCTCCAGCCCATGTCTTGTTTCAAGGCTGCAGGCTACTGGTCCACCTGCCTGTTGGCTCACAAATGCATGTCGTTGATTACGGAGGTAACAGATCCGGGAGTACAGATGATTTAGAGCACACGCTCTTCACTCCTTGGAAATAATTACATCCAAACCTGAGTCAAGTCTGGTCAATGGTGGTTCCCATCAGAAATGGCCCGTTTAAAGGAGAGAAAGATCATACGCGCACACGATGGAACTTCTCCCAACACGCTGGCTACCCGGTCCCTCAATGTGTCACCGTGGATCCTGTGCTCTGCAAGTGCCAGTGGGTCTCCAACCAACGGTTCTCAAACCACTGTCTCAGAATCTCCTGGGGGGCTTGTTAAAGCACAGATGGCTGGGCCCCACCCCCAGAGCTCCCGATTACGTAGGTCTGGCGTGAGGCCTGAGAATCTGCATTTCTAACAAGCTCCCCACGGATGCTTCTGCTCATCCTGGGCCCGCACTTTGAGGACCACCCTCAGTGAAACCTGCTTGACCCTCATCCTGTCGCTCCCAGCTGAGCCGCGCCAAGGGAAGGGGTGAGGGCTGGGGGCTGGTGGCACATGCCTGTTTGGAGTCCTAGTAGGACCGAAGGGACTCAGCCCTTGCTTCAGTGTCCTCCAGTTCCCACTCTGGCCTCCCAAACAGGGCTTCTCTAATCTGTCCCACCCCAGGGTTCTTACTAGAACTCAGTTTGCCCCTTTCCCAGCCCAACCCCACCAAAGTTGGCTTCCCCACCTCACCTCCCACATCCTTTCTCCTGCTGGTTCCATTTCTTCCCCTTGCTGTCATCAGGGATGGCAAGAATGATGTTTAGCCCCCTAGCCCTTCGTCCATGCCCATGGCCTGCTGGCCATGCCCCAGCATTCTCCTGCCCAGAGTGTAAACATTTTTAGGGGGAATCCCAAGGGCTGTGGCTGCCCTGGTACCCAGGTCAGCCAGGGCTGGCTGGGGCTGGCTGGGGCGTCCCTGTGGGGTCCTCACCAGGCTGGTGCAGGCAGGTGGCCCCGCTTTCCTCCCCTACTTAGCAGACCTGTGATCCAAAGAGGGTCTGGTGACCATGAATGGACACTGGCCACTCTAGGGTGGGCATTCCAGCTCCGAGTCACACAGAAGTCACAGCCCTTACAGCTTATCAGCACCTGTCCCCTGTCATAGGCATCCTGATGGAGATTGGTCATAAAGATCCAGCACCAGGAGAGGCTTAATTGGGCAGTAATGACACTGACACCTGTGTTTTCGAAGCCCTCTGCAATCGCTAATTAGCATGTGTCATACACCCACAGCCTCCCCCTCTCTCCAACAAAAGGACGGGTCATGGGGAGCATCCTCCCCTCCTGGGGAGAGCCACGGCCCTGAGGGAGGCCTGGCCGCGGCCGCCCGCTCTGTCTGCCTCCTTAAGAGCTGCCACCTTGGCCTCCCAGCCTGATCGTCCTGGTCACCTTGCAGAGCAGTTTTCCTAGGGAGGCCAACGTGAGTGGGCCCTTCTGGCTGCTTTGGATGAGGACCAGGGTTTCAGCTCGCTTCTCCAGCCATAGGCCTGTATTGGGATGCTCAGTGCTACACCCCCAGGTACAGCCGCAGAATAAGAGTCTGTTGGATTCAATGAGTGGGCGATTCATGAGGACAAATATCCAGAGAGAAGCTGAGCACACACCAGAGACCCTGCTGTTCAACCCTTCATTTAGCCGGGAAGAGGGCAAGGAGTCTGGCCAAGGTTGCATAGTCAAGGTCATTGCCACAAACAGGGCCTGGCACCCGGAAGGTGCTCTAAATACACTTGATGATTGACACGTGGTGACAGAACCCAAGGCCTCCTCATTCTTAGTCCAGTGTTAAAAATCAACAATTCCTAAATCAGCACAATAAAACCAAACTCTTTGGCCCCCACCTTCCAGGATTTCAGGAGAAATTGACCTGATTGTTGCTTTGTGCAGCTGGAGTGTCACACAGATGTGCACCTGGGCCGGGACTTCTTCCTGGGCCACCAGCCCTCAGCGCGCTCCAGCACCTACATCAACCTGCGGGAGGTCTCCAGCCGGGTCCGGCTGCCCCCGGGGGAGTACCTGGTGGTGCCATCCACCTTCGAGCCCTTCAAGGACGGCGACTTCTGCCTGAGGGTGTTCTCAGAGAAGAAAGCCAGAGCCCTGTGCGTGTCCTTTCCCTCCATGCTGGTGGTGGGGGCAGTGGTCTGAGTGCCCAGGGCTGTGGCCTGACACAGGTCAGGACCCCGTCCCTGGATGTGACCCAACCTGGCTCCCAGCCGATGCCTCCCAGAGGACGTTTGTAAAACACCACAGGTCCCCAGGGTCCTCGCTGGGTGTCCCCCTCCTGCCCCCTCCACTTTGGTCTATAGGACACTGGGGAGTTTTCTTTTAAAAGAAAAGGTCAAGCCTGGAGAGAAGGGACACCACGAACAGCCTGGTTAGAGGGTTCTTCTCCCAGCAGGGCTGGGCTGTGAGGCGCGGAGAGCAGGACCCGGATGAGATGAGAGCACCACCTCCCCCTCTACACACTGCATACAGACCACACACACACACACCCCCACACCCCACATATACACCACTACACACACACGAATGCCACACATACATACCACAACACATACCATACACACCACACACAAGCACCACACATACACACGCATACCATATAAACGGTATACACACACACACAACCCTGCACCCCACATATACACTCACCACACACACACACACACGAATGCCACACATACACACACGAATGCCACACATACACACTGCAACACAGAATACCACACACAAGCACCACACACACACACACACGATACACACACACCACACCACACACATGCACACCATACACATGCCATGCAGTACACACACACATCCACCACACACATGAACACCATACCCCCACCCACATACCCTTATACACACCACACACATGCCCACCACACACATACCCTTCCCCCAACACCACATATACAACAACATGCATATCACACATACCCCACACACAGTAGACACACACCACACATACCACAATCAGTATGCACACATGACGTATATACCACACACACATACACAGCTCAACCCTCCCACCACATATCACCCACACACATATATGCACCACACATACCATACACTCACACTAAACACACCACACGCACACTCCACCACAAACTGTGTATGTGTATATGTGCAATGCGGGCTGTGGGCCTGCTGGCTCATTCCCCAGAGGCCGTTTCAACAGGGATTCACACAGCTGGCTTCCCAGGGGAGTTGAAGGGTAGTAACTGGGGCAAGGTGGGGAGAGAATTCTCCAGAAGAGTGGTCCACCAGGGTGAAGATTCTAGATTTCATGAAGAGCCAACTGAACGTGGCAGCTCTTGTCTCTGGTGAAAAACTCGGGGTGGGGTGAGGATTTGGGGGGAGAAGAGGAGGGGTCCTGGTAAGAGATTCAGTTGATATAATTTGGTGATAGTAGGAACTGAAGGTCTTGGGTAGGAAGCCAAGCCCTCAGAAAGGTCAGGAACTTCCTAAAAGCACTGAGCCATGAGCTGTGCTTTTTACTCACTCATATGTGTTTCTCTGTCTTTGCGTTTCAGGGAAATGGGGAATGTGGTAGCTGGAGACCTGCACGAGGTATGCAATCTCTTAGTATGCCAAGCTCTGGCACTCGTGCATAGCAGTCGTAGAGGTTTCTTATTGATTTGTAAGAGTTCTTTATATATTAAAGGTGATAACTTTTTATTCATCAGGGCCACAACATTTGCAGGCCCTGGCTCTTCCTGACGAAGATGAGACAGAAGCAGCACTGGGACCCAGCTTTGCACACATCCCTAACCCCTGGGGGGAGGCTTATCATCCCTACATCTAGTCAGCTGGACCCTCAGATCCAGCCCTTCCTGTGTGCTTGAGGAGTTCTGTGCAGGACAGAGGAGGCGATGGGAGAAAGAGATCCGGTCTCCCACTCTTAGATAGACTTCCAGTCTTTTAGAGGTTGAATGATGGAAACATATGAAAAAGATGAAGGAAAACTCATGCTGGAAATGATCTAAACCTCTAAAGTCTCTGGGTGCTAGAGTGAGCACTAGTCTGGGAAGGCTCCATGGAGGAGGTGAGTTCAGGGCTGACTTTGGGGGAGGACGTGAGTGCGTGGGGTTTGAAGTGTGCGTCCACTTTCCTCAGCCTTAACCCCTCCCTCTTGTCGTCAATTTGCTGTCCTCTCCTTCAGATAACGTGCGTGGAGGCAGCATGTTGAGTGTGGCTGCTTCGTTAGGGTAGGGTCAGGGGGCCACACTGTGTCTACAACTGACCCGGGGTGGGGCTGGACTATCTTCATGGGGGCACAGGCCCAGCTTTCACTACTCCATTCCGTCTACCCAAATGGATTGGGGTGTCTCTGCAGATGCCACACAGAGCACCCCACAGCTGCCGAGTTTGAGCCTCTGGCAGCATGGGGAGCGGGGCAGACATATTCTGTTGTTTGGCGTATGTCAAATTTCTGAGCTCATATTTCTGCAGATGCATGAGAAGTTGCCAAATACGGATCCATCCTGCCCTGCGGGGGTGGGGGTGTGTGTGGTGAGTTTACTAGACAGGAAAGGCTCGCCTCCATTGTCTGTCCTGCCTCCCTCCGGCATGTCCCTGAACTGAGCCTGGCGCATGGTGGGGAAGCCAGTGGTGGATAGTGCCTCCTGCCTTGAGTCAGCTGCAATACTGGGCCCCAGGGGCCATTTCTGTGCTTGTGGATCTCAGTGATGCCGCTGCCCCCAGGGGACTTATCTGTCACAATGGCATCTCTTACTATGATCCAGACGTTGTTAGAAAGGCCAGTGGGCCAGGGTAGAAGGTATGCAGCGGAGTGCGCAATTCTGTTTTCTTTTGGTTTCCACTAAATGAAGCTAAAATTGACTCTAAGTCCCCATTGCACCAGGCTGGCGGGAGTTCAGTCCTAGTCATTATGGGGCTCCCCAGCTCTGCCTCCCATGGTCTGGGGTTTTCTGAAACAGCAAAACAACAGGAAGTTGCTTCTGGTCGTGAGTCCACACTGGTCTCCCTTGGGACGCCCAGTGTCTCAGCTCACAGGTTCTGCGAGGGCGGCTCCCGGGCTTCTGCACCAAGTCTGGGGCTTGGAATCTTGGGCGAACCAGGAGCTCCCAGGCCTAGGGTCCAGCCTTCCCTTCTGAGGTCCCTGGATCAAGGCTAGGGAGCCACACAGCATTCCAGGGCCTGTGGACTTCTGACATCTTGGTTTCTGGGAAACTTGGCCTTTTCTCTCTAGGGCTCCCCTCCCTCAACACACACACACACATGCACGTGCACACACAGACACGGGATAACATCTTCAGAGGACTCTGGACTTTACAGGAGACTAGAAGAGCCATTGCTTTCAAGAACTTCAGTTTTCCTCCCTCCTGAAGCCCCCAGCTTGTGGGCAGTCGGACATTCGAAGGCCCGACTCCCTGCTAGGAATGGGGGAGTGAAAAAATTACAGGGTGGACAAAGCACTCTGGGAATTTAGATGTGTTCATCTGAGCAGGGTTGAAAAGATGTCGTCAACACGCAGCGTAACAACAGGAAAAGAGTCCTTGCTTTTGCCACGCTGCCTTACCAGTTACAAAGCATTTTCACACATATTTTCTCAGGACAGCAGATAATTCCACTACAGGAAGTACCTTGAGAGCAAGGACTGTGTCTTGTTCAGTAGTGCATCTCTGACGCAGATAAAGAACAGTTTCCGACATGTGCCGGGCGTCCAGCACATCTGTTTTTAAATGAATGAACAAGCTGTGAAGTGCCCTATACACCATCATATAAAAGCATCTTTCTCACTCCCCTCCCCTCCACAAATGCCCCTGTGAGCCATGATCCCCCCTAGCGGCGAAGTGCCTGCCACGTACCAGTGTGTGTGCCCATATCCATATATTGGGGTATGCAATTTCATACTTTTTTCCCCCAGAATAATAGAATATTACTCCACATCCAGAATTTGTGGATTTCCCACTAGATTTCGTCATATAGTATATTGTGTTACATAAATAACATAATGTTTTTATTCTACAAAACCACTTTAAAATCACGTATGTGAGATAAGAAGTGTTTATCATTTTTTCTTCTAAAAAGTTTAGAAGCGTTGTTGGATTTGCTCATCCTATGTGTAAACAATATGACAATCATTAATATCGCCGTGCTATAGATGAGGGAATGGAGCCCTGGAGAGGGCGGGCTGTCGAAGGAAGGATGCTGAGAGCATCTGCTCTGGTTGTCGTACAGGTCAGGGGTGGAGAAGTGCATGGGCCACCGTTTGAATCCTGGTTCCACCCTTTACTAGCTGTGTAATCGTGGCCTGTTATGTAACACTTTAAAACCTCAGTCTCTCCATCTTTGAAATATAGACAGCAATGACACCGACCTCATAGAGTGGTCATGAATATTAAATGAAATAATGCACATATAGCACCTGACAGGTAGTAAGTACTCAACAAAGCTAAGTACTATTACCACGGTTGTTACTCTTATTAGCACAGTGTCATCAGGCCGTATTGGATCTTTTGGACTTTTCCGAGTGATGGTTTTGGAAGAAATTGACCTGGCTTTCTGAAACTCTTCAAGACATCTGGGAAGCTTGTGTCTTTTCCCATTCTGTCTGGTAGTGACAGTTGGGGAGGAAAGAGTCCATTGTCATATCAGAAAGTCTCTGGAAGAATCATTCATATAATGATTTGTAATTTTCAAAGGACTTTAACACATGTTGGCTCTCATTTGGTTCTCAACATGACCCCATGGAACAGGCCTAATTAATTTGATATTAGAGTTGAGGAAATGGATGTTCAGAACCCTGAGGTGGAATCCAGTAAGTGGCCAATGTGGTTTTATTTTAATTCATTAATTAAAAATTTTTTTTGAGGAAGATCAGCCCTGAGCTAACATCCACCACCAACCCTCCTCTTTTTTGCTGAGGAAGATTGGCCCTGAGCTAACATCCATGCCCATCTTGTTCTATTTTATATGTGGGATGCCTGCCACAGCATGGCTTGACAAGTGGTGCATAGGTCTGCACCCGGGATCCAAACCAGTGAACCCCAGGGCACTGAAGTGGAGTGCATGAACTTAAACTGTTCTGCCATCGGGCTGGCCCCAGCCAATGTGGTTTTTGAAGTCCAGTCTTCTGGCTCTTGGTTCTGCTGTTTCCACTAGGCCGTGATCTTAACTACTTTGTAATCGTGTTGCTATTTCAGAATCTGATGAAAGCTAAGAAAATACCTATCAACACTACTCCACATATCAACACTACTGCAAATTTTCAGGCCATTTCTGGAGTTCACAGACCCCCTGAGGGTTGTTGGAGAATCCCTCAGGAGCCCACAGATTCGGACTGAGAGCCTCTGCTCTCAGCATCTCTGCTGGCCTCTGAAAGCAATCCATGGTTGAAACCAGAAGTTCAGGGTTGGTGGGGATCACGACCCCACATCACCCAGAAAGGAAGCCCTTAGACGCCCCTGCCCCACCTCTTTGCGCCTATGAGCTCCCCGGGCCAGGACCGGGGCTCTCTCCTGTTTGCCGCCATCTGCCCCTACCTACCCAATGCCTGGCGCATGATAGGTGCGCAATAGATACAATAACGATGACCGAAGGAATTATAAATCTTTGCCTTTCGTTCTCCTCAACGATTCCCATCTTACTTTGCAATCGTCCTGCCTTTTAGCCACATCCCAGTGAGGTGGATCAAGAAGACGGCCAGTTTGAGAGCCTGTTTGAGAGGCTGGCAGGGAAGGTGAGTGGAGCGCATCTACAAGCTTCCAGACAGGCGGGAGAGCGCTCAAGAACGCTCTGGTCCTTTAGTCTTTACTCCCTCCAGTCTCCGTGAGTGAAGAAGGTGAGGTTGCAGGTCTCGGGGGCCCCCCAGCTTCTGTCTGTTGCCTCCTCCTTTCTTAAAACTGAGGCCTTTCCTGCCCTGCTGGGGAGAGGGATAATGATCCTGAGGCCACTTTTCTCGCTGCGTTGACTGACTCTAGAGAAAATAGAAAAGCTGAAACTCCAGAGCCTGCCCGAGCCTTTGTGTTTGTAAACTGGCCCTGTCAGATCAGGGTCCTGACCAAAAAGCTGGGGTGGCAGAGCCTCCCTAAATCAACATCCTCCAGAGGCGGAAGCAGTCGCCCGGCCCGGGGAAGGCAGCTCGGTTACCCTGGCCTGGGGTGGGTGCTGTCTGTCTGGCCACCTCACCTGCCCTCAGGGAGACCCCCAGCACCTGGCCTGTGGAATTCAAGCTTGGCCCCCGTGCCAGCCCCGCTTGGGCGCACAGAGCCAGGGGGAGAAGCCACACGCGTGCCCACTGCTCCTTCTCTCCCCGTCCTGCTGACTTGGGTTTATTGTGGTTCTGGTCCTATGAGCTGCGCTAACAAAGTACCCCAGCCTGGGTGGCTTGTCAACCGCAGACATTTACTTCTCGAAGTTCTGGAGGCTCGAAGTCGAGATGAGGATGCCAGCATGGTTGGGTTCTGGTGAGGACCCCCTTCTAAGCTGCAGACTGCTGACTTCTTACTGAGTCCTCAGGAGGTGGAAAGAGGAGGGGAGAGCTCTCTGGGGTCCCTTCTATAGGGGCACTAATCCCATTCCTGAGGGCTGCACCCTCATGGCCTCATCACCTCCCTAAGGTCCCACCTTCTAACACCATCACCTTGGGGTTAGGTTTCAACCTATGAATTTTGGGGCCCAAACACTCCATCCAAGACAAAAGGGGAGAAACAATGCTCTCCACGTTCCAGGGCAGCTTGGAGCTACTTTTTGGACTTAAGGATAGAAGAGAAGAAAACACATCAGAACGCTTTGCAGAGAATAAGACCTGGGAAGGCAGATCCTTTTGCACAGTATTTAGTGAAAGCTTTGCAAAAATGAGTCAATTTATGTTTTAGATGGATGCTCAGACCAGTATTTTTACTAACAAACCCTTGTTGCAAGCAGAAAAAACAAACAAACAAACAAAAAAACCAAAAAAACCCCAAACCCTTGTTGCCTTAGCTGCCAAGGGGCCACATTTTATTAAGAACATAAGACTGGTAAAAAAAAAAAAAAGCTTCTATTTGGACAGTTCTTCACGTACCTTATCTTGCTTTTCTCTCCTGCTGTGGGGGCAATATCGCTCACTCTCCCCACTCTGCTGGTGAAGGGTCAGGAGCTGGCTGGGCCACAGGCCTCGTGCGGGACAGGCCAAGGTGTGAACACAGACTCTCGACATCCCACTTCTTTCCTGGCAGGCTCACGGGGCTGATCTTCTTGGCCCCGAGGCTTTTCAGAGGGTTCAGAGGTCTTATTATCGGGACTGCCTATTCTGTGCCAGAACGAGGCCAGCTGCCCTCACAGTAGACGCTGCTCTGTGCACCTGTCTTGTTTATTTCCAGTAGTACCACCTCCACCAGCCAGGAGGGAGCAGTAGGACCACCCGGGTACAAATGATAAAACCACACTTCATGAGGGGAAGTGATTTGGCCAAGGTCATACCATCGGTGAGGGGCAGGGTCCCGATTGGAACCCAGATCTCAGTCCAGGGCCCCTTCCTGTGCCTTGTTAATCATCCTACCTGAGGTCTGTCCTCCAGCTGAGAGGTAAGGGACTACCCGTCCTCTGGCTCAGTGTCCATACCTCATGCACGTGGGAAACCCCGCTCTCCTGTCTCTACTTCTGGTTTGAGATGGGCTACTGCGTGAAAAAACTGGCCTTGAAAACCCTGTGAATAGCAGCAGAGCATTGTCTGATAGAGCCCCGGAACGGGAGAGGATGGCACAAAAGGAGCAGGCAGGGTTTCCCTCTGTGAACACAGGGGCGCTAGGAGTTGAAATCTAACAGCAAACTGCATGAAATAGCAGCTCCCAAAGGTGCAGTGGGAAAGGGGGCCCTTTGGGTGAGACAGTCTTAGGTTTCAAATCCCAACTCTGCCACTTGGTAGCTGTGAGCACCAAGCAATTATATCACCTGGGGATGACAAATGACATTGTGTATGTATATGGTCTTTAGCAGTTCACAACCTCAGCTTCCTCAACTCCAAAATGGGTGCAGAGTCCTTTGCAGGATTTGAGGAAATTCCACGTGGAGTGTGTGGCCTGTCAGTGCCAGCTGCCACTATTGCTACTCGCCACCCTTTGTTCTCTAAGCCCCAGGCAAGGCAGCAAGCCCCCTGGGTGGCAGCCTTCCGCCATGGGGGTTCTTGCTTACGCCATTGATGAGCGCCTCCCACCAGGCTGTGGGGGCCCCATTGGAGTTTTTAAAGATGTCACAGCCTTTGAAAATCACGGGGTCGGTGGACCTGGTGTCTGACTCTACATTTATATAACATCTTGAAACGCTTGTCAGGGTCCAGCATGACTTGTATCTGGGTTCCTCTTTCTAGGATTCTGAGATTGGTGCCAATGAACTCAAGAAGGTTCTGAATGAGGTGTTTTCCAAACGTAAGTTCTTCCTTGGGGCTTTTCAGAAAGTCCATGGGAGCCTAAGAGAGATGCTGGGGTGGGGGTGAGGGTGGGTCAGGCATCCGATCGGGAGCACCGCAGGTGGGAAGAAGGGGCCTTTGGCTTCTGACCCCTGATTCCCTCCAGGCTGAGAGAGTGTCCAGCAGGAGGGAGATGCTGGAGTGGAGGGAGTGCTGGGTGGGGCTGACACTGGGGCCCTGCAGAAAGGAGTCCTGAGTCCTGGGAGGAGAGAAGCCGGGCTGAGAATGACTTAAGTGATGTTTTCCCACAAAATTAATAATGTTGATGCCGTGGAAGCCTTGCTCTGTAGCGCATCTCTGGGGAAGGAGTATGGAGGGGTGACTCTGACTTTCCTAGACAGCACGCACTTCCCCATCTTCAGACTTCAGCCAGCCCTGGGGGCTGTCAGAGGATCAGACTGCATCAGGAGGGTAGGCTGGCTCCTCCCGTCTGAACCCAAGCCCAAGGGGGCTGGCACGGAGCAGGTCCTGTGGTGCCCAGGGAGGAGCCCGGTTCAGTCTTCCAGCTGGTCGACTGACGGGCTCACTCACCCACTGCTGCAGGGCAGTGTGAGAATGCAGACACGGGCTGGTCCAGTGCGCGCATCCCGGAGACGGCACCCTGGGCTCACAGCCCAGGCCCTGGCTGCTCCAGCTCTGGCTCCTGCCTTTGCTGAGAAAGAGCCCAGAGAAGAGGAGGGGCCTGCAGGGTCTCTGGCCCCTTCCTCCTGGCTCACAGGCACGGGCGAGGTGAGCTGGGGGCCAGGGATGGCTGTGGCTCCAGGGAGGTGCCTGCAATTCAGCGAGTTCGGATAACAGGTGCCCTTTGAGAGGCTGTGTGTTGTGGCTGAAAGTGCAGGCTGTGGAGCCGGGTGGCCTGCCTTTAAATCCCAGCTCTGCCCCATGCTGGTCGTGAGATCTTGAGCGAGTTAACCTCTCTGGGCCTCAGTTTCTTTATCCATAAATTGGGGATAATGATAACATCTACCACATGGAGTTAATTTGAGGCATAGAGGTACAGGGCTTAGAGCAATACCTAGCACATAAAAAGTTAGCTGTTTTGTCAGGAACTTACCATATACCAAGCGCTGTGCTAAAAACATCACTCACATTGTCTCATTTTGTCCCCGACCAGTCTCTGGGGCGGATATTATTATTGTGCTTATATCCCCTTGACGGAGGAGGAAACCAGACTCAGAGATATTAGTCTGCTGAAGTCCCGTGACTTGTGAGCAACAAAGACGAGGCTCAGACACGGAACCCCAATTCTGGTGCCCCCTGCACTGCCTCCTCTGCCGAGGAGCCCGCCACCTTTGTGTGGAGACCTCCTTCGGCTCCATGCTCTGGCTAGTGGCTCTGGTGGCCTCAGCCACGGAGATTATTTCCGCCGTCTTCAAATGATCCTGAGTCCTGCCCCCTTTGCCGTTTAAATATTTAGGAACGGACATAAAATTCGATGGATTTGACATCAACACTTGCCGGGAGATGATCAGCCTGATGGATGTATCCTTTAAATGTCCCATGGTTTTTACTTTTTTCCTGTTTTTGACGACTCCTCAGCATTTCCCAGTGAGAAGGGAGGGAGGGGTAGGAATGAGAAGGGAAACCAGTGTTTACTGAGCATGTGTCAGCTGTCCTGCTTGAGCTTTAAAGAAAAATGCATCATCTCATGTTTGCTCCTCGATGAGCTTGAGATTATCTCCGTTTTACAGGTGGAGAAACTGAGGCAGGCAGTGTTTAAGCGACTTGTTTAAAATCCTTGGATTCAGAGACAGTGTGGCACCTGTGCTCTTCCTCCACTCACAGCCTGCCTCCCTCCAGGCTCCATTCCCACCCTCCTCCCTCTTTCCCACCCTCTGCCCCTCTCCCCCACCCCCTCCCCATCCCTATATGATCTTCATCTCAGGGTCTTAACACAGCCCTCCGACAGCCACTACCAAGAGTTTAAAATTATCACACGAGACAAAACCTATTTGTTCTCTCTGACCCGATTTAACCCTCACTCTACATCGAAGAATGTGGAAGAGTTTTGGGGAGGAATGGAGAGGGTTCGGGCATCCTCGGTGGAAGGAACAGCTTATGTGAAGGCAGAATGGGAGAATGGTGGAGTATCACTTCCTCCAGTCTTTGCCTAGGGTGGGTCCAGGTTACCATTCTCCATGGTGCTGATGGTGAAGGCGATTTCTTTATATATCGGAGCATTGGAGCATTCTCCTAGTTTGTAGCACCTCATCCGTGATGTGAACTGATGACCTCTGGGGCAGGGGAATGACTTTTATTTGCATGGTGGTCATGCGGAGGGTCCTGAATAGCCAGCGTGTAGGTACTGACCTCTGCTGAGGTTGTCAGCCATGGAGAGACGCTGCCCTTGTGGTCCCAGAGCTTCAGATGCTGGGGCTCTTCCTCCCAGAGTCCTTCTGTGAGGCCTGCATGGTAAACAATTTAATTCCTGGGCCACAAAGAACTGTTAAGTGTTGATTCACTTTGCTGCAAATAGTTCCTTGGTTTCTGAATCGTTCTTCTCAGACTTGCCTATGGATTCAATTTAGATGAATTGTGGTCACCCCTTTGTTGTCACCCTGTCATTGTTCCCAGTGGTATTGGCGTCTCTCATGGCTCCAAGAGGACTGGGACTCTGTCATTCTTCAGGAGGGTCTGTTCCACCGTTCGGATGGTGCGAGCAGTGGTTTTGAACCAGAGCGTGCAGCAGACCGGCCCGTGGAGCCTTTTGTAAAAATAACAACCCTACTGAGATGTAATTCACGTACCATACAATGTACTCGTTTAGTTTATTCACAGAGTTGTGCAAAGATCACCACCCATTTTAGAGCATTTTCATCACCCGTCAAGAGACTCTGTACCCATGTTAACACTCGCTCCCCTTTGCCCCTCAGCTCCCCCACACCCCCTGCCCTGCAAACACTTTCAGTCTCTACAGATTTGCCTATTCTGGATACTTCATATAAACGGAATCATGTAACCTGTGGTCCATTGTGACTGGATTCTTTCATTTAGCAGGATATTTTAAGCATGATGGCCTGTATCATTGCCTGTGGAGTTTTAAAAATACGGTTGCCTGAGTCTCACTCCTGGAAGTGCTGATTCAATAGCTCTGGGACGAGGCCTGGGTCTCTGCGGGCAGTTCCACCTGGAATTGAGGACCACTGGTGTTCTGGGACAAGGGCTTTGGAACAGACAAAAGTCCAAATTCTGGCTCCACCACTTATTATTTGTATAAATTTGGAGAACTTACTAACTGCTTGAACCTCAGTTTCTTCTCCTAGAAAATGAGATAGCAGTATGGAGCTCCTCTGGCTATTGTGAGGATGAAATGAGATCGAATTATACAAAGTGCCTCAACCCAGAGCATTAGCTCCCTGTGCATGTGACTATTGTGAGCGATGTTCGTTGAATTATTAGTGAGGATTTGAAGGCTGTGGTGCCTTCAACACTCAGCGTGGATCATAGATACAAGAACACGGACTTTCTTAATGGGCGAGGTTTATGCTCTCGGGTGTAAACATGACTTGTTTGGCTAGTTGAGGGAGGTGAGAGTGATGGCCTATGAGCCAGCTGTGCTCAGTGTCCCAGTGTCCTGGGAATCAGGGCTGGGAAGCTTGGATCTCCCCTCCAGACGTACTGACAAACTCAGGCAGACTGTGGTGGACAAGAATCTCAATCCTGTGCAAGTGATGATTTTTCTGATAACATTTTGACATTCTAAACAACAAAATGTTTCAATTATCAATCACAGAAATTTAAATCTGGAAGAGAATTTACAGGTCATATAGCCCGACCCTCTCAGTAACCCAGATGATGGGGGTGGGGGGGTGTTAGATGCTAATCAATGACATTGTGAAGAGGGTTGCAGGCTCAGGACATGCCCTTTGTTCTAGCTCTGTGCCTGACCTCAAAGGAGGGCCTTTGAGAGTGTTTGACTCTTTCTTCTTCATCTGAATTTGTTTCCCACCAACTCTTCCCACCTTGACCCCCAGGACCTGCTTACTGCAGGCATGGATGTTCACTGAGGCCTTAGGACTTTCACTGTGTAAGGTCACAAGAGAAAGAAACCCATAAGACATGTAGAATTTGGGCTTGATTTTGTGGCCTTTAACATGCCTAGAACAATGGGACGGGCACCTTGGGACCAGTGGAATTCAAGACGCTCTGGTTGAAGATTCGGAAGTATCTGGTAACGCTTCTCTCCCTCTTGGGCATCCTCTGGGCCCTGGCCCCTCTCCTCTGTTCTGTTTCTAGCCCTTTGCCCTCCCTGACACTCACTCCTAGTCTGTTGCATGCCCTCATCTGACCAGATCCTTAATCATGGTCAAAACCAACACAAAACCTGGCCACGTCGTTCAGGAAGGACTAAGAAGGCAACGAGGGATGTTCGTGCTGATCCCTTCATGGAAGCCCTACTGTTCAGAGGGCAGAGGGGCCAGCACGGCCCTCAGCCCAAGCTCTTACCTTTGTTCTGAAACTTCTTGTGAGGAGCCAGTGAGGTCTCTTTTGGAGGGCATCTCTGACCTTCCAAGGAAGCGAGGGGGTGAAGGGAGATGGTACCAGCAGGGGCCACAAATGACTGTTTTCTATCTGGAATTTCTCTCCTGCTTTAGGAAATCTATCAGGAAACTGATTATAACCACTTGGGGACCATTGATGCCCACGAGATGAGGACAGCCCTCAAGAAGGCAGGTGAGGACACATCCTGTAGACAAGGTCTTGGGACCCGAGGGGCTCATTTTAGGTAGTTATTGTGACAATAATGATCATCAGTGGTAGTTATCTTGTGTTGGAGATCAATGTGACAACAAAGATCTGTGAAGCATCTTTCCCATCCAGGGAGGACGGCATCTTGCTGGATTCTGTATGACATAACACTTTAGACTTTTCCCAAGGACTTTGCCTGTTACTGGTGAGGTGACGGCAATCACAGAGGGGGCTGTGAAGGACACAGGCAGGACAGGCAGTCCCCTCATCTTCTCTGCTTTCTCTTGCCGCAGTGAATGTGATGCACAGCTGACTTAGTGTTGGAGCTATGGGCCTAACTTAGGACCAGGGAGGGGGCAATAATCCTACTGAGGCTCATCCAAATGGAGGCTGATTGGATGACCAGACCCTTCTGAGGGACAGACTCAGGCCTGACCCCTGCACTGTCAGCCCCTGAGTTCTACTGGAGCCGGTGCTGAGCCCTCCACTCCACCTGTGACCCAGGTCCCCTCTGCCCGCAGGTTTCACCCTCAACAACCAGGTGCAGCAGACCATAGCCCTGCGGTATGCATGCAGCAAACTCGGCATCGACTTCGACGGCTTCGTTGCCTGTATGATCCGCCTGGAGACCCTCTTCAGTGAGTCGCTCTCTCCTTTAACCCCATCCCATTTCTCCCGGGGTGCAGGGAGTGGCAGGGGGCAGGGCCAGGGGGCAGAACCAGACGGTGCCTTTGGGAGGCCACGGGGTCAAAGAAACCACGGATGGGGCTCTGTAACTGTGGCACCCTTGAGGGAGGGGAAGCAGAAGCTGAAGGGCCTGAGGATGTCCAAGTTGGGCACACCAAGGTCAGAGGCTGCTTTTTCTTGGGGACTTACAAATGTGCCATCTAGATGGTTGTGCAGTCACTGGGCCGAGGTGAATGAGTCCCAGTAATGGTCCTTAAATGGTTTTTAGTGCTTATTCACACCCATGCCTCCGTGGGGGTCATAGTGAGAGCATGTGTCACCTCCCAGGGAGGGGATGGGGTCCGCCTCTAGGAGGCAATAGGTTCTCCTGCCCCCTTGGGCCCGGGGCCTCATGCTGAGATAGCCTATTGAGGGACAGTGTTTTCTTTCCACTGAGGAGTGGGAGGGACGTGAGTTCTAACAGGAAATGTTCAGCCAGCCAGAGACAAAGCTAAGGGACTGGGTGCCCCACAGATGGGGCAACCACTGTCTGTCCCACAACCCCCGCCCCCCCCTCCACCCCTGTTAAAAGAATTGCAAGTTCCTAGAGCTTCTGAAGATGGAGATGACGAAAGACCATCTCTGCTCGCAACTGGAAGTTTGTGCATTTGGGCAGGGGACCTCTGCTGCCAAAGAACCTTGCCCCGGGCGAGGGATCCAGAGGGAGCTTTTCAGGCCCTGCAGCTGGCTGGTGGGGGGGAAGGGGGAGGGCACCCTGTGGGGGTGGGGTGGACAGAGGCAGCTCCCTGACTATTCCCAAGTCCAGGAACATCCCCGTCTAATTTCATTCCTTCTCTGGCATTCTAGAACTGTTCAGGCTTCTGGACAAGGACCAGAGTGGCATTGTCCAGCTCTCTCTGGCTGAGGTAAATGGCTTGAGCTTTGGTGAACTGCTTGCTGACGGCACTTTGGAATTCTTGGATGGTCCGGGGGCTGAGTGGGGCTTATTCATATTGACCTGTCTTACTTCCCTGTGAATGCCATCCCTGTTCTAGGGAGGCATTGTGGGGAGGAGTGGGGTTGTCCTGCAGTCTTTTAAACGTTTTTATTTACTTATTATCATTATTATCATCTTAAAGATAGAGTTACAGCTACATTTCAGATCATTTCAAGGATGGAAGCTCTTATTAATTCGGATGGAATTGTGGGTGGTGGGTACAATTTAAAGTGTCTGACTTCTAGGACCAGATGTCTTAGATTGACAGATAGAAAGACACCAGAAACAAAAAATTGAATTGCAACAAGGTAGACTGAGGATGCAAAATAAATGGGTGTTCTACTGTGTGAGTCACATGGCGCCTTATGCAGACACCACCGTAGCATTCCCCTGCGGAGGGCTGCAGCCCCGTACATGCAGATGCGTATGTCCCGAGGGTCCAGGCCAGTGGGGAGGCATTGCCCTCCACCTGCTTCTGAGGCAGAGGAACGAGAGGACCAGGTTATTCCCGGCCCTGCCAACTCGTCCGGGCACAACCATTTTCTTTTCTTCTCTGAAATGGGAATGTCATTGAGCCTTCTAAGGAAAGCTTTCATAGAAGCTTATCTTGTGGATGCCTAAGTACACCTGGACAAGAGTGCTGAACGTTAAGTATACAAACTGAGTGTATAAGCACACACACACATCTATTTTTGGAAGTCCCTCTTGGGTGTGGGTTTGTCCTAAGTCACGTTCCTATAGTGCTCTGGCTTAGGGCTTAGTGACTTGGTTAAGGGCTTCTTCTTGTTGAGCAAGGCTCTTACTGGAGGGCAGAGATGGAACAAGCTCGCACCCATGGGAGGCAGGAGAGTGTCTCAGGCAGAGTCTCTCCAGCTGCCGGAGGCACAGTGAGCTCACCCATTGTCCTTCTTTTGCAGTGGCTGTGCTGTGTGTTGGTCTGACGCAGAGTTTTGGACATTGGCAACGCTCCCTGCCAGCCTGCCTGCCCCTTTTCTCCCCTACTTTACAGCTTTGTGAACATTTATCCTTGAATGGCGTTCACTGGTTATTCATCTCCTGTCTGTCATTGTCCCCTGAGATCCTGGCCTGTCCCACTGGAGCAGTCTGGAGAGCCCTGGGTCTCTCTCAGCGGCGTTGCAGCTGACCAGCTGACCAGGGCCCACTGGAGGGACAGAAATCAATTAAAGATGTGAGCCAAAATGATTTCTGCTTTTGTCTAGTGATATGCAATGAGGGACTGCCCTGGGCTTCTCATGCTTTAAGAAAGAAGATGCTCTTGGGAAATGGCATGGCCCAAAGCTGCTGAAAGATGGGAAAAGTAGGTGGGTTTCTTGGAGGGGAGGCCTGCTGCAGATCAAGCTGCCTCTGAGGGCCCCTGCGGGGAAGGAGTCAGCTCCAGCCTGTCTGAGAACAGGCCTCTCTTCCTCACTTTGCGGGGAAAGGTTGCCACACTGCGCATGTCTGCATCTGCGAGTCTAGAGGTAAATTCCTGCGGAGGGAGTTCTTACCTGACAAACAGCTAGAGGGACGTGCAATTCCGGTTAGTTTTGGCCACAGCTGAACACGGGGGTCTTTGTTGTTGGTAGGAAAATAGATGCCACAGCCTAGTGTCCTAATGGGTAGATGGGGACAGAGCTGGGTCTTACACGCGGACTTTGGAAATGAGATATAAAGGAGACGAACGTCTTAGTGAGTTTGAGACGCTGTAACAAACACCACAGACTAGGGGGCTCATAAACAACAGACCCTGATTTCTCATAGTTCTGGAGGCTGAAAGTCTCCAGAAAGAGATCAGGGAGCCAGCAGGGTCTGGTTCTGGTGAGACCCTCATTCAGGTCGCAGACTCCTGACTCCTTGGCGTGTCCTCACATGGAGAGCAGAGAGAGGAAGCGAGCTCTCTCGTGACTCTTCTAAGGGCGCTAATCTCATCATGAGGACCCCACCCTCATGACCTCATCTAACCCTAATGACCTCCACACACCATCACATGGGGCAGGGGTGGGGTTTCAACACATGACTTGGGGGGGACACAGCATTCAGTGGATGACAGAGAGCTACTGGAGAGAAGACACGCATACACACCTTGGCCTCCGTATTAGTCTGATTAAGGATTAACGTTCAACCTGCAGAAGTAGAGCTGGGTGAAGGTTCCTTATAGGAGCACAGCTCAGGACTCACCTGTCGGCCTTTGATTACGGCTGCCTTTGATTCTCCCAGGGACGGTGCGGTAGGAGGGCCTCCGTAGCTGAAGCAGGAGGTGGAGCTCTGGGACTCACCCCTCAGGGAGGGGCTCTGATGGCACCACTGCAGGGAGAGCTCAGTTCATTTGATGGTGGAGAAGGAGGAATATTTATTTTGGCAGCCTGTGGGTCCCAGAGGGAAAAGGGTCCTTCCTCGTCCAGTCGGAGGTATGAAGGCGGTAGGGGGACCAGAGTGTCCATCGGCAGCACTCAGCCCTAGAGGCCCAGCTGGCTTTAGTCTGATGCTCATTGACCAGGTACAAGTCCCCACCCCACTCTTTAAAAATGCTACAAACCACTTCTCCCTTACTTTTCAAATACAGCATGGCTGCCTACATTTCAAGCGCTATGTTATAACCAACTTGCAACAGGTCGTTTTATTTTTAAAGTCTGCAAGCTTCAACCACTTTTGAGGATAGTCTGGTAACCCCCCAAAACACAGTCTCCTTGCAGAATCTATAGCCAAATCTCCTGATTCACTTTAAAACGTGCTTTTACAGTTGGCTTATTCAAGTGGAGATTCAACCGGCCTCACCTTGCCCCTTTTAATCTAGAGTCATCTCCCCCCTTTTTTGTGGTATTGAATGATTAACGAATAATTGGACTTTTGAGAAAGAACGTCACAGGATGAGGCTACTCCATCTGCATCTCAGTCTAATTAAGCCTCACACCGGGGGTCTGTCCCAGCTCCCTCCCTCTCCCCAGGGCCACACGGGGTGCCTTACAGGGCCCTGGAATAGGGGGAAAGCAGGGGTCTAACTTTCTCTCCAGTGGGGCTGCCATCTGAGCATGCCCATCCTTGGAGGTGGTATCTCCTGCTTGTGGCCCATTGGCTCCAGGACTATCCAGGCTGGAGCCACCCCTCTTGGGTCACACCTGGTCTTTGCTCTGGTTGTCTTCAGTTCTCTGAGTCTGCGCCTGGGCGGGTGTGGGAGGCAGGGCCCTGCTGGGAGCGTCTCGGTCGGGGTTCTGGCCCTCAGGAGTCCCTCCCTCTCAATCCCTCCTGCCCTAGACTCCTTGCTGCCTGCAGGAGGCTCAGCTTTCAGAGAAGGAAACCTCTGAAAGGGGGTTCTGCTCAGGCTGCCTGTTTGTCACAGCTGTCCCCTGAGGCCAGAGAGCTCACAGGCTGGGCCACCTGCTGACAACAGGGGGAAGCACAAACCCAGCTTGAGCTGTAGTGAATTATTCCGCAGTTAAAGCAGCAGCCCCTTCCGTGGAGGAAGGGAGAGCAGACACAGGTGGCACTCCAGACCTCTCGGAGAGGGCTGGGACCCTCGGGGCTGGAATTTCACATCCGTTTAAACATGAGTCACCACTCCCGCTGCCCCCTGGAACTTCAAATACATTTCTGCATATTTCCTAGACTGTCATCTAACTGCCAGTTGGTCAGTGCCTCAGCTTCTTCGTCTGCAGAATGGGATAATAATAATACCTACCTTATGGGATTATTGTAAGGACTAGTGAGAGACTGCACAAAAGCACGAAGAACAGTGCCCGTTCCCTAGGTAACATGCCATATGATCGCTTTTGTGGTCGCGATTGTTAGAGGCCGGCGTCTGGGTCTCTTTTGTATATTTTGAGCTGTGCTTGCTGGGCTTTCCTTTGATCCTGATCAAGTTTAGGTCCAAGACAGAGGATCCTGAGGTTCAGCAATGTTCCCAGAGTTGACGTACCACCACGTGCTCCTTGTGGCCAGTGGGGCGGGCGGTACCTGTCCGGGTCCTGAGCACACCAGGCCTGCTGAGGGCTCCGGCGAGGGGAGTCTGCTTCTGAGCTTTCTCTAAGGGGAGTGGCTGTGTTGGTAAACACAGAGGAAGGCAGACGGGCACGCTCTGAACTTTTAGGAGGTACTGTGGTTCTGTGCATAGTGTAAGCCTTCAATTTCAGCTTGTTGAATTGAATTGAATTGAATTGAATTCAACAAGGAAGAGAGGATTAGGACATGAAAGCCATTATCTGGCAATGAAATTCAAGCCAAAATCATCCTGTGGTCAACATGATCCTGCTTATGCTCTGGAAGGGGTTGCCGGGGAGCCTGCTCAGAGCCTCACGGACACTCGTACGTGGATTTGCACAGTGGGCCCACCCAGTGGGCATGGGCAGCTCCACTTTGGCCCCTAGACTCCAGCTGGTGACCTGGAGTGGCATCCTTTCACCATCCCGAGGACAGTGGAGCAATTCTACTCAGTAACTCAATCAATAAACGTGTCTTAAGCACTAACTTCATGTCAGGCTCAGTGCTCACCCTGGGAGTTGCAGGGAGGGGGTGCAAAGGTGATAAGGCAGGGCCCCGCCTCAAAGAGGCTTACTATCTAATGCGGGCAACAGACTTGTCACAAGGAACAGCAAGTTGATACAGCATGACCTCAGGGCTGGAAGAGAGGCACAGAAAGTCAGGCCACCAGAGGAGAGAGAAGTTATGCTGTGTCCGGAAGTGGAGCAGACTCCACGCAGGATGGGCCGGAATTTGACAGCTGGGGCTGCCTTCATTCACCCAGGAAATATTTATTAAGCATCAGCTATATTCTAGGTATAGCCAGCCCTGGTGGTCTAGTGGTTGAGATTTGATGCTCTCACTGCTGGGGCCCGGGCTTGTTTCCTGGTCAGAGAACAACATCACCCGTCTGTTGGTCGTATGCTGTGGTGGCTGCGCGTTGCTGTGATGCTGAAAGCTATGCCACCGGGATTTCAAATGCCAGCGGGTCACCCACGGCGGACAAGTTTCAGCAGAGCTTCCAAACTAAGACAGACGAGGAAGAAGGACCTGGCCAGCCACTTCTGAAAAAAACTGGCCGTGAAAATCCTATGAATCACAGCGGAACATTGTCTGATATAGCACCGGAAGGGGAGAGGATGGAACACAAAGACCGAGCAGGGCTCTGCTCTGTTGTCCACAGGGTCCCAGGAGCTTGAATCCTCTCCACAGCACTAACGACAACAATTCTAGGTATTGTGCAGGCCCCGTAAGTGAGGGGGAAAGATGCTCCAGGTGGAGGGGCAAGCATGGGAGGAGGCAAGTGCCTAGGAAAGACGGAGCCGTTTGTAGATCCTGGGCTTGGGGAGGATTCAGAGCTGCATGCTGACTTTGAGGCTGTCGCTGCAGCCCTGCAGAACCGCCGGGCTGGGAAGCAGCAACCATCTTCCCTGCTTAGTCCCATCTTCTGTGCCACGTTCCTGCCTAGGGTACTTTGCCTTTGAGTATCAGAGGGAAATGATTTGGGGCTATTCCCCAAACAAGCCAAGATCCTTGGCCTCCTGAGGTTAGGCTGCTCAGTAACGTCTACCCCTCCATTCCCTGGGCTGGAAGGACCCCCGAGCTCTGTCGGCAGCTGAGAGACGCCTGCTGTGGCTGGCAGTGGGCCAAGGCACCTGGACCTGCAGCCAGCAGTGGCCTCTGCAGCAATGTCCTTACCACCCAGGGTGAAGAAGAGAGGGCAACCCCTAGAACCACAGAGGCCCCAGGGAGGAGGGTCCTTTATGGGGACTGTCCCTGGGTACGCCCAGAAATGCCCCCTGGAGCTGAAAAGCAATCCAGATGCATGACTAATAAAGCCTCCCACTTCCACCTGCATCCTTGAAACATTTACTACTAATTAATTTCTCAATTACACAACAATGCACTTCCTAATCACACAGGGGAAGCACCAGCAGCTATAAAGGGTCGTTATCTATTGCACAAGTGATTCTAATGGACGCTCTCCCAGACTCGAGAGAGGAAGGGAAGAGGCTGGGGGAGGGGAGGGAGGAGAGAGAGAGACGGCTAGATGGAGATTGAGAAGGAAAGCCTGGCTGGCAGGGCCTTCCTAGTCTCGGAGGCTAGCTGACGTCTGGAGGAGCTCTGCTGTCTGGGGACCTCAGTAACCCTTCCAGAAGACATGCAGCTGCCTCTGAGCTGAGGGAGAAAAGGCTTCCTTGGGAACCCTGCCAACTGTGCAAGCACCAACACGGAAATATAAATAATAA